GGGCGCTGTGGTGTCAGACAGTTCACTCTCTCCAAGCAATGTCACAGCAAGGACAACCTGTGGCTGAGTGGTGGAACCAGCAATGAAAGGGTTAAAGCAAACAAAAGCAGCCAATCAGAACGCAATCTGACTTTCCTCTTTAAATTTGTGATCATTCTCCATGACAACAGTGACTCCCTCCTCTAAACATGTGATGCTTTGGCTCAAGATGGCTCCTTGCCAACTGCATGGACATAGTTTCCTTAGACATGCATCAGCAAACTTCATTCATTCATGTTCTTTTCAGCTTAGTCCCTTTATTAATCAGGGGTTGCCACAGTGGAATGAACCGCCAACTATTCCTGCGTATGTTTTACACAGCGGATGACCTTCCAGCTGCAACCCAGTACTGAGAAACACCCATACACACCATACACACACACACTACAGTCAATTTAGTTAATCAATTCTCCAATATCACATGTGTTTGGACTGTGGGGGAAACCGGAGCACCCGGAGGAAACCCACACAAACACGGGGAGAACATGCAAACTCCACACAGAAATGCCAACTGATCCAGATAAGGCTCGAACCAGCGACCTTCTTGCTGTGAGGAGATTGTGCTACCCAGTGCGCCACCGTGATGCCATAAGCAAACTTTTGGAAACCTAAAGAAATAAAACAGTTTCTGCAAGCTTCATAAAGTCAAGTTTAAGACCCTTAATCATTTAATTTCAGACTTATTCAAGGCTAAACACTATAAGGATTTTTTTCTAAAGGAAAAGGAAAAGATTTTTACTATCCTCATTGTTTTTTATGTAGTTTTTTTTAAATAATGTGTTAAAACAAGCAAAGGCAGTGGCGCAGTAGGTAGTGCTGTCGCCTCACAGCAAGAAGGTCGCTGGTTCGAGCCTCGGCTAAGTCAGTTGGCGTCTGTCTGGAGTTTGCATGTTCTCCCTGCCTTCGCGTGGGTTTTCTCCGGGTGCTCCGGTTTCCCCCCACAGTCCAAACACATGCGGTACAGGTGAATTGGGTAGGCTGGAAGGGCATCCGCTGTGTAAAAACTTACTGGATAAGTTGGCGGTTCATTCCGCTGTGGCGACCCCGGATTAATAAAGCGACTAAGCCGACAAGAAAATGAATGAATGAACAAGCAAACTCTGGTTTCATTGGTGCACTTTTTTTTATATGACATTTTTTTAAAAGCTAAGTATATGCACTGCTATCCCTCCAGGTCAGTGTCCTCGCCATAAATAAATGGAGAACTTTTAAACCAAATGTGATTGTACTGATAATTAAACTATATTAGTCAATAGAGTTAAAAACTCAACTATTTGTTAAAAGACGAGACTGCTGCTGATTAGATGAGTAGCTTTTCGTGGCCATGTGAAACACTATTTCAGTAAATTTAGGACTTTTTAAGACCCTGCAGGGGCGGCACGGTGGCTCAGTGGTAAGCACTGTTGCCTCAAAGCAAGAAGGTCACTGGTGCGAGTCCCAGTTGGCATTTCTGTGTGGAGTTTGCATGTTCTCCCCATATTGCCGTGGGTTTCCTTCAGGTGCTCCGGTTTCCCCCACAGTCCAAACACATGTGCTATAGGGGAATTGATGAAACTAAATTGGACGTATGCTGGCATAGTTGGCAGTTCATTCCTTTGTGGCGACCCCTGATAAATAAAAGACTATGGGAAAGATGAGTATGTATTATGAGGACAGCAGCAGCTCATGTAGTCAAACCAGATTCTGTTCACATCAGTCACAGCACACATTCCGTACATATCATAAGTTATATAAGTTACTGCAGCGTTTTCAATTCCAACCAACAATTTCACTTTACGTCTGCTTACAACTAGATCACCACAACTTACAGGGCATTTATTCAAGCCATCCTGATCTGGTGCCCTGATAAAAGTGTCTGCACAGGCACACACGCACGCACGCACAAGCACACGCACAAGCACACGCACAAGCACACGCACACGCACAAGCACACGCACACGCACAAGCACACGCACACACACACACACACACACACACACACACACGTTTCACTATTTAGTGACTTCCATTCTTTTATATCAGGTTAATGGTCTAACTCTAACTCTGTGAGTCAAAACAATGGAGTGAATCAGTGAGGACAACTGAGTCCTCACAAGTATAGCTAAACCTGCATGCACATACACACACAAACCACACACACACAAAAAAAACACACAAACAAGCAAACAAACCACATACACAAACAAACAAACACGCAAAAAAAACACATGCACAAACAAACACCCATACAAAACACACACAAGCAAACAAAAAACACAAATAATCACACTCACACACGCGTGTACACAAACACACATGCACACTAACAAACAAACAAACCACACACACACAAACAAGATACACACAAACACACATGCACAAACACGCATACATAACACACACAAATAAGCAAACAAAAAACACACTCAAACTTGTACGCACACAAACACATGCACACAAACCATACAAACAAACGCACTCAAACAAAATTACATACACACAAACACACCCAAATACACAAACAAACACACATGCACACAAATACACAGATGTACACACACAAAAACACACATACAAACAAACAAACGTGTAGACTTAACACACACACATGCACAAACAAAATACACACACACACACGCACACAAACACACACAAACACACACATGCACACACAAACAAACACACAAATGCAATCAAAAAACACACACATACACATGCATACACACAAACAAATACACACCACAAAAAAAACACACACAAACACACACACAACCAAGCAAAAACACACATGCACACACAAAAACACAAACAAGCAAACATGCACACACACGCCAGACACAAAACATACACAAAAACACACACAAGGACAGAAAACACACACAAGCAAACAAAACAAAGAAACCCACAAAAATACACATGCACACAAACAAACAAACCCCACATGCGTGCACACACAGATACATACACACAAACAAACAAAGCACACACACACACACACACACACACAAACCATCAACCTTCACAACCTTGTGAGGAAGTTGGTGTCTACCCCCCTCCATCAGCAAGGCCTGCTGGGAGAAGATACCATGACCAAAACGGGGGGGAGGCGTCGGGTGGGGGAGGTGTTTTAAACTCACCCTTAACTTCCTGCAAAGATCTGCCTCTCCTTAAACAAGAGCAAGACTGCAGATCTGACAGACCCCAGCGGTGGCACACGTTTACGAACACTAACACACACACAAACAAACCAACGCCTCTTCATTTATCTCTAAGGCACACACACTCATCCTCTGGGCAACTCTTCAGACGCAGGGTGAGGCTTGGGGGATGAATTTAACCAACACGTTTTCACTTCTCTAAAAGCTCTGAGCAAGTCCACTTCTCAAATGATGCTTTCTGCAACAGTGTGAGCATCTGGTGTTTAGTAGCAGTGTTGGTTAGCATCTCTTAATAATGTGTTAATGTGACTTGTGCATTGATGTGCAACAGATAGAAAAGAAAACTGAATATATGAAGAGTTCAGAAGCAAAAGGAGCATTTTCTATCAGGCTCCTCTGATTAGGTTCAGAAGTTTTACTTTATATATAATTATGAGGTTATTAGCTGGTAATTAAAATAGCTTTTTTTCATAAAAGTCACTGTAGACAATTCTTAAGGTAAATTTCTTTTGTGTCAAAACCAGCTAAATCCACGTCTGCTTTTTATGCAGAAACCTCTAAATCCACCTATCGGGACAAGACATTTTAATTAGTTGAAAATCACTAAAGACGCGATTAGAAATGATTTTACCAAACATAAAACACATTACACAAACCACCTGAAATTAAAAATACATCTGTCAAGTAAGTGGCGGTTCATTCCACTGTGGCAACCTCTGATAAACCAGGGACTAAGCAGAAGGAAAATGAATGAATGAAATCTTTAAGTGCATTAATCAATAACATTAAAACTGTCATTAATTAAATCTGAACAATCTGTTGTCATTTCTGATATATGGATTTAATGTAAGTAGAGCGATGTAAACAAGCTCGTTACATTCAGATAATATAGAGTTAAAAACATTGTGAGACATCAATATCTGTGCACTGTCCATTAATATAAAAAAGTAATCATTTATTGAAGTAATATAAATAAAGTTTAGTTTTACACATTATATTTATCTTTTAAAACATGGCTTGCATTAGCAAATAAAACACAAGGTAGGCCGACTGTGCAATAAATCTGCTCTCCGTTAAACAGAAATTGGGGAAAATATAAACAGGGGGGCTAATAATTCTGACTTCAACTGTATGTGTGTGTGTGTATATATATAAATATAAATATAAATATATATATATATATATATATATATATATATATATATATATATATATATATATATATAAACACACACGTTTGTTTTTGTGAAAAGTGGACTTCATAGACTTCTATTCATTTTATACAGTTATATATTGTATTGCCCTCTCCCCACCCCACCCTACCCCTAAACCCAACCATCACAGGAGTCAGTGTGCAGCTCTACTCTCTGATTAAACTCATCCTGTAGGATTAATAAGCATTTTGAGAAATAAGGACGTCACCAATGTCCTCATATTTCACCTCCTTTCGTAATACCTGTGTCATACCCATGTCATTACACAGATTTGTGTCCTGATATGTCACAAAAACACGCACACACACACACACACACACACACGCACACACGCACACACACACACACACACACACACACACACACACACACACACACACACACACACACACACACACACACACACACACACACACACACACACACACAGCTATTAACTTCTTTTCTTTTTTTTTTTTTTTTTTGGTGAAAATTTTGGCAGGGCAAGTAAAAATCGGAACCACTGGCCTGATCGGGCCAGTAAAAAAATCTTTCAATTTTATTGGTAAAATCTTTAGACAGGTGCTTTGTTTGATGTTATATATAAAACGTTTGTCAGTGCAGGACTAACCTGTGCATGTTGCCGTTGGTGGTGAAGGTCTGATGGCACACGGTGCATTTGTAGGGTCTCTCTCCGCTGTGCACTAGCATGTGACGGTCCAGAGAGCTGGCCGAGCTCAGAGACTTCCCGCAGATACTGCACGAGTGGTCTGAAGTCCCGCTGTCAGTGTTGTGCTGGAGGAAAAACCAACTTGGGTCATTTCAGCTGATAATCACACTAACACACATTCATTCATTCATTCATTTTCCTTTGGCTTAGTCCCTTACACAGTGGAATGAACTGCCAACTATTCCAGCATATGTTTTAAGCAGCAGATGCCCTTCCAGCTGCAACCCAGTACTGGGAAACACCTATACACACTCATACACTACGGACAAATAAGCCTACCCAATTACCCTATAGTGCATGTGTTTGGACTGTGGGGGAAACCGGAGCACCCGGAGGAAACCCACACCAACATGGGGAGAACTTGCAAACTCCACACAGAAACGCCAACTGACCCAGCTTGAACCAGCGACCTTCTTACAGTGAGGCAACAGTGCTAACCATTGAGCCAAACCTGACATTACACTGTAAAAACAGCAGGATTCCACACAATTTATTCACGTTGTCCCAACATAAATTGATTAAGTTACCATGAATAAATAAATAAATAAGCTGCCCCCACCCCCCTCCCCAAAAAAAGCTGAAGAATTGTGTCGTTTCAGATTATTTTAAATAAGTAGTTTGGACAAACAGCAAAAATCCTTTCTTCATTGCAGGGGCACTACTAGGGGGGAAAGTTAGGACGATTCTAAGGGCCCATGCAGTTTTGGGGCCCTCAGAGATATTATTAGGGACCCAAATGACCCCCCCACCAGACCCCCGAAAGGTGCAGCCAGCGGCGCCCTTGCTTCAGTGTATAAAACCACGTTCTTCAATATATTGTCTTGTCTGATTCAGTCGTAGGCTCCTGCTGGTATCAAATGTTGTTGTTGCAATTAATTGTCAAAGTATTTATTCTAATATATATGATATTATCACAATATTAAGCTAAACTGGAAAAAAAATATTATTTTATCAGGTATAATAACAAAAAAAGCCCTTAGTGTATTGCTTTATTGACTACATTACATGTTTAGAGTGAATGAATGTTTTAAACAAAGTAAACTGCAATAGGATGACAAAGTATAATAGGTCACACTTCACACTAAAGTCTCATTAGTAAACATTAATTAATGCATTCAAGTCAACAGTAAGAAAAGGCAGGTTGTAGTTATAGCTTAAATCAGGGGGTCTTAATATGCTGCCCGCAGGCCATTTACCAATCTACTTGAACTTCTGTGTTAAGCTGCTTCGGCACAATCTACATCATGAAAGCGATATAGAAATAAAGATGCACTGAACTGAACAACTGAAGTGTGCATGTTTACCTGGCGGATGTGCATGGTGAGCTGGTGCTGGTTCTGAAAGCCCTTATCGCACAGAGGACAGGCGATACACCCGCTCTCATCTTTGGCTTCCTGGAACAAATATAAACAAGGAAAAGTGCATGTAGTTACAAATGATTTCATTCTGTTCCAGCATGCAAAAAGCTTTTTCTCTTGCATGCATAATGTTACAACCGTTTTTAAGGTGATTTTACAACAGAAATAAAAAAAGATACACATTTTGGTATAGACTAACAGTTCCAAAATGTAAATCTGAATGATAAGACTGATAATAGTTACAGCCCACATAAAGCATTCTTTTATTGCATAAATAATGTGACAACAGTTTTTAAATGCTGTTTTACATGAGAAATTTGGGGAAGATAGAAAATTTGGTCAGAAAATCTTCAGAAATGTAAATCTGTTAAACTTTTCTACACTACTATATTCAAAAATGTGAAGTTGGCATTTCTTTTTTATTTATTCCTTTATTTTTTAAATTTGATTAATAAATAAATGAATAATATTATTAATAAAAATATTATATCATTGAAAAGTATTTATTCTATAGCACTGCGTTTTAAAATTATTAAATTAAAACCGTGATTTTTTTACGTGTGTATTTTACATAATACATTATGTATATGTGATAGAAACGCATACGTAAACACAAAAACATTGCCACATAGATATTAAAATGTATTTATAATTTGTATTATATAGATATATATTTAATATAAATAAACATTTTCTCAAATATGTGCATGCATACGTGTATTTAGACCAGGGGTCAGAATTTAATAATTTAAATATTATAATTTAATATAATATAATTTATTATAATATAATTTATTATAATATAATATAATATAATATAATATAATATAATATAATATAATATAATATAATATAATATAATATAATATAATTTATTATAATTCATTATAATTTAATATAATATAATATAATATAATATAATATAATATAACATAACAAAACATAATATAATATAATTAATATAATATAATATAATATAATATAATTTAATTTAATAAAATTTATTATAATTTAATATAATATAATTTATTATAATTTAATATAATATCATATAATATAATATAATATAATATAACAAAACATAATATAATATAATATAGTATAATTTAATATAATTTATTATAATTTAATATAATATAATTTATTATAATTTAATATAATATCGTATAATATAATATAACAAAACATAAAATAATTAATATAATATAATATATTATAATATAATATAATATAATAAATATAATTTAATATAATATAATTTATTATAATTTAATTTAATTTAATTTAATATAATATAATATAATATAATATAATATAATATAATATAATATAATATAATATAATATAATATAATATAATATAATATAATATATGCACACGCACACAGAATTACATTTTCATTTCCAGTTGCCATCACTCAGAAATGGCTGAAGGAGCGTGGGTAAAAGCCCATATGCAGTAGCGCGGCCTTGTCTTCTGACCTTCAGTGTTTTGTCAGGACATGTTGATGTGTGAAATACTGAGCTAAATTCACTGCTAAATAAACACTTGCTCAAGTCCTTGCTGCACGACCCCTCATCACACTTACACACACACACTCTCGCTTCCTATCTAATATATGCATGAGTGCAGCATTGATGAACATGTATTCGATTTTAATTTTAATCACTGTAATGCTGTCCTTCTGCAGGCATGCTTTGTGCATCTTATGACGAGCATCTTGAAGGAGTGTAAATGTGTGTAAACGGACACCACACACACTCGCTGCTGCTGCTGCTGTTGACAGAACAGCAGATCATTAACTTTCTGCTCCATTCACTGAGAACAGTTCATGTTTAAACAGATCCCATGCCGTCACATGACTATATGTATTACATCATAAATTAATTGTGTACAATATCTCATAATATATACATATATATAAACAGGGAAGGCATAGATTAGTCATCCCAAAATCAGCGCTAAATAGACGCCCACATGATCTACAAACACACACAAGTAGACAGGATTCTTCAAAAACATCTCTGGGAAGAAAAGAGCACTTCCTTTTCCTGTGGAGGCACGCTCTGGCGAACGGCTTGGTTTTGTTTTTTCTTTTATGGCTCTCTTGGCTTTTTAAAAATGTAGTTTTTCTTTAATTTTGTATTTGATCAATGAATAAATATTAAAAATATATATTGTGTATATTTTTATATTAACAAAAGTATTGCATTATTTATGCATGCTTTTTTTTGGCTTATTCTCTTTATTTATCAGGAATTACCACAATGGAATGAACCGCCAACTTATCCCTCATACGTTTTTACACAGCAGATGCCTTTTTAGCCACAACCCAGTACTTGGAAACAATCATTCACACACACACACACACACACACACACACACACACACACACACACACACACACACACACACACACACACACACACACACGCGCACACGCGCACACACACGCACACGCACACGCACACGCACACGCACAGGCACAGGCACACACACACACACACACACACACGCATGCACATACACACATACTTATACACTACTGCCAATTTAGTTCATCAATTCCCCTATAGCGCATGTGTTTGGACTGTGGGGGAAATCGGAAAGCACCCGGAGGAAACCCACGCCATTACTGGGACAACATGCAAACTCCACACAGAAACGCCAACTGCCACAGTGCTGACCATTGAGCCCCACTGATTTTTTTTTCTTTTATGCCCGTTTTTGAGAGAGAGAGAAAGAGAGAGAGAGAGAGAGAGAGAAAGAGAGATTAGATTTTTTTTAAATATTAATAAAATATTATGTTATTAAACATGTATTCTACTGTAATGTTAATATTTTAAAATGTAATTTATTCCTGTGATCAAAACAGATTTCTCAGCATTAAATATTTTAAGGTTTTGAAAACAAATACTTCAGATCAATATGTCTGATAGAAACTTGACAAGTTTAATGGTGTTTTCTATATATATATATATATATATATATATATATATATATATATATATATATATATATATATATATGCATTTTTTTCCTATTTAAAAAATAACATTTTTCTAATTTAATATATCTTCATAAATGATAATTTGTTTAAATATTTAAAAATCCATTATTATAAATGCTAAAAACAATTATCTTGCTTAATTATTCAACAATCATAAATGATATAAATATGATAATATATCAATCATGATTAATTACATCCAAAATAAAAGTTTGTTTTGACATAATACACTTCCTGTGGAGGCACGCTGGTGAACAGCTTGGTTTTTTTTCTACTATGACTATCTTTGGCGTTTTTTATGTCTTTATTTTCTTTTTATTTCTTTATTTTTTATTTTATTAATAAATAAATAAATAAATATATATATATATATATATATATATATATATTGTATTATCTATAATAATAATAATAATAATAATAATATTATATTATGAAAATAATTCTATTGTAATGTATTTTAAAATGTGATTTATTCCTGTTATCAAAATACTGAAATACATCAAATATTTTCAGGTTTCTAGAGAGTTAGAGCCGTGTCAGCCATTTAAAAACAACATTTTCAACAACAATAAAAATTATATAAACCTATTAACATCACCTCCAAAATAAAGTTTGTTTTGACATAATATATATAAACATAAAACATTTCCTTTTCCTGTGGAGGCACGCTGGCTTGTTTTTTTCTTCTTCTATGACTCTACTGGCTTGGCTTCAGGCCTGCACTGAGCTGATCGTATTTACCATTCAGCATGTTATGAGGGCAAGTGTCGTCCACTTTTTTGACCTCAGCTGGGAACGACAGTTTCGTCATGCACTGAAGCCCCATTCATTTCATATGGCAAGTCATCATGACCGGATTTACAAAGTTTGCAGGACAGAAACTGAGTTGATCCACTGCTAATACACAACTCTAAAGTCTGGGGTCATTCACAATAACACTTTTATTCTGCAAGGATAAAACATTTGATAGCAAATACACTATATTTTTAAAGTGTCCTTGTCATAATTTAACTATTTAACAAATTATTGATTAATCATGAATATTGATGAAGTACATGGGTAACACTCGTCCATGCATTTTAGCTAAAGAAACTACTGCTTATTAATAGTTAGGTATTAGTTGGGTTCAGGTTGGGTAGAAATAATGATGTAAATAAGATCATACTTTATAACTACTAATATACAGGTAATATCTAATAACAGGCAGGGAATAAGCCAGTAGTTAATAGCGTAAATAATTTTTATAGCATAATTATGATTAAAATTCTGATTTTCTTCACAGGAATTAAAAAAAAAGACAAAACAATAAACAATAATAATAATAATTTTAATAATAATATCTGATATAATAGTTTTGACTATATTTTGGACCAGACTTGAGTAAAACTTGAGCATATAATTCATGTTATGCAACAGACTTCTTTTTAATATTTATTTTAGCTGTGACTGATGCGGCGCACCTGAGCTAACACCTGTTAGCAACTATTCTTCTCTTCCACCGGTTTTGTCTGAACTTGTTTGTGTTTAGCACTACCCGTCTGCAGACTACTGTACTACTTTACGCTCAGTTAATCCAGTAAATTACACAATTCACTGTAAGCTTCTTTACTTTTCCTCAAAGGGAGCAAAAGAGGCCTGAGAACTAGAGAAAAGAGCTCTCAGGGGAAGCACAGTTTACTGCCTACATCACTCTGTAACACTTTAAAATAATGGTGCATTAGTTAATGTTAGTATTTACTAACACAAATAAACACTGAACAATACAGTGATGACAGTATTTATTCCTCTAAACTACTTAAATTAGCTAATGAAGATAAAGCTGTTCAGTGTTCATTCATGTGGTGCATTAACTAATGGTTTACAAAATCAGCTTTATACAAGCTAAACACATTACTGATTCAGTATTAAAATACTGAAATTAAAGGTCTTTTCTTGTCTTTGTATTAGTATTGAAGACCTCAAAGATCAAAATGGATAAAAGACAAAAAAGCAGAGTTTGATAATCTTGCTCTTGACAAGTGTAGAGATGTAATTGGAGTTAAAGTAGAGGATTTAAAAGGTATGAATGCGTATGTGTACAGTGCTCAGCATATAGGAATACACACCATTTTGAAAACAAATATTTGTATCCATTTCTCAGTGAATATAGGTCACATATTTTGGTGCATTTGAACAAAACAGATTTATTAAACAGATATATTTATTAAAACAATATTTTAGTCACCAAACATATTTAGAAATAGTAAGATAATGTATTTAAATAAAAAAAAATATGTATTTAAATATGTATTTAAATTTTTCAAAATATTGCAAAAATAAATTACACTACAAAATTTCAACTAAATTTGATATATTTTTATTTCTCTTGATTCTTGCTTTATTTTACATTTTTTTAATTTTATTTTTATATTTTCCCATAAAATATAAGCAATATTTTATTTTAGAAATTAATTTTTACACCTTATTTTAAATGGGGTATTTTCTCTGTTTAATAAATGCTATAATTTAATATTCTCCACTGTTCACCTTTTTTGGGTAATAAAATTAAAATAAATTAAAAAAAACTTTGCATTTTATTATTGCATTAGTAAATGTTTGAACTGCGATTAAAAAATAATGTACAAGATTGTTCATACTTAGTTTTTTATTTAATTGAAATTTTATTTTATATTTTCCCTTACATATAAACAATATTTTATTTATTTATTTTTATTTTTTACACCTTATTTAAATTTTTTCTGTTTAATAAATGTTGTTAAATATTCTCACAGTTTTTGTAATAACATTCAAATAAATAAAGTAAAGAAAAAAACAAATGTTAACACGCACAACTTTGTATTTTAATAATGCAAATAAATAGTTAATATTTGCAATGTGATGCAAACACTTTTGATCATACTTTGTTCATGTTAGTAAATACATCATCATTCAAACACTGTGCAATCATTATGCAACAAAGATGCAATAGTGATAAGTCACATTGACATACTACACTCGAAAAATTACCTATGCTGCTTGTTGAAAATACTTATTTAAAATGGGTGGAAACAACACAATGGGTTGCTTTCTGGGGACAACATGATTGTTTTATGTTCACAATAAGGTTGTGTTAGTTAATGCATTTGCTAACATAAACAAACAATGAGCAATACATACGAAAATACAGACGTCCGTAAATGTTAAACTACGATTAATAAATGCTGTACAAGCAGCGTTCATAATTAGTTTATGTTGGTCAATACATTAACTAATGAAACCTTAATGTAAAGTGTGGCCGATACATTCATTAATCGACCATAAATTTAAAGTCTTAACAATTAATCAGATCTTAATTTTAACCTCTACACATGAATAATTTAAATATGCAAATCATGTACAAGAACACTGCTCTGATTGGTCAGTTCTTTTAAAAAAGGGAAGCGGTTCTTGAATGGGTGAAGGGCGGACTGGATCTAAAACTTCAGAGTCTGAACTTCCCCCCTCTGAGTTCCACATGAGTGTGAAGGGGTTAAAAGTGACACCTGTTGCTCCACACGGGAGTGTTAAGGGATGAATTGCATGCTCTAATGTGAGCCATGTGATGCAGCCGTGAGGACAAAAGGTGGATTGAGATGCCAAAGCACCATTTGTCACTTTCCGTTTAAAAGCAGGATGCTGCATCCATAAAGTCTCTCCCACCTGTACCACTTTCTAACCACAAAAACACATGCCAACAGGCATTAGATACACAGTGCTGCATCCCGATTCACTTAAAGGGACAGTTCGCTTAGAAATGAACATTATGTATTGGCACTCAAGTGCTTCAAAGCAAGATATTTTGAAGAATGTTGTAAAGCAGCATGCACGTCCATTGTATTTGTTGTTTTCCTACTATGAATGTCAATGTATGCTACTTTTTCAACATTCTTCAAAATATCTTCTTTTGTGTTTAACAGATGAAAGAAACTCAAGCAGGTCTGGATCAAGTGAAGGATCAGTAAATTACGACAGAAGCACCATTTTTGGTTTAAAAAGTGCTAAAATAGTTAGACAAACAGACAGGAAAAATAAACCTTCAACTATTTTAATGGTAGTGCATGTAAATAGTGCTATTTAAGTGGTTTTAAAGGGCTAGTTCGCGCAAAAATTAAAAATCTATTCACCTTTTACTCTCCTTCAAGTGGTTGTTTTTTTATTGATCAGGATCAGGATATCAACCTTTAATAGTTTATTTCTACACAAAGAGTTTATTCTGGAGAAAACTGTAACCATTGACTTCCATTGCAGGAAAAACAAATGGCAGGCAATGGTTACTGGTTTCCAGCTTTCTGCAAAATAACTTCAAAACAACTCAAAGGTTTAAAACAAGTAAAGGGTGAGTAAATGACAATGTTCAGTTTTGGGGTGAACTATGCCTTAAAGATTTTTTCAAGAGTTCACACTTAGCTGATGATTGATTATAAAGCTTGTTTGGCATGCTGTCCCAGGAGAGAGCACTGAACTCAAAAGATCCTCTGGCCCAGGGATCCCTCCTGTTTTCAGGGCGAGAGGGGAGTTTCAGCTCAAGTGGATCTTAAGAACTCCCCTGCTGTAGTAGCTAATAAACAGATAGTGAATGCCCTTAAGGGATAACTACTGATTAGGAGCATGTCTATAGTGCTGATTTGGATTAGTCATTTAACTTGAGTTGCATGTTTTTGGATGATGGGAGGAAACTGGAGAACCCTGGGGAAAAACCTATATGAGCACGGGGAGAACGTGTAAACTCACAGAAACGTCAACTGGCTTGGTAAGGACTAGAACCAGTGAGGCAACAGTGCTAACCACTGGGCCACCATGCTGCCCTATTTAGGAAAGAAGGAGGAGTAGATGTGGAAGGGGGGATTCTTCAAAACAAAGATGGCTGTTATATGTAACTTAGGGTATTTATAGTAACTCAGTAATCGTCTGATTGGTGAATCATAAATTGAATAATGCGGGACCGGCTGCAAGCAATCATAAGCATGTGATCCTCTCCAAATTAGTTTATAGATAAACTTCACTTAGTATGCAAGACTGTAATTAGTGTTCCCTCAACAGAACACATTACTAGTAAAGCAAACTACAGACATAATGGACATTAAAATGAATTAACCTACAGGTGATGGTGAACTTTAAGATATGAATATAGGTAGATGCTAACATGCAAACACAATCATTATGCAACAATATGCAGTTGTAATTGGCTGTGGCATATCGCTCTCATTACATATTAAAACAATATTTCTCAACAGTATCTTGACGAATTATTGCTTTAAACATTCATGGTTGAATTTATATGCACAAATTGTGTTTGAGAATTATAAACAGGTGTTGTTTTCATCTGCACAATGACAGTGACACTACAGTACTAGGAAATTTGACATGTATTGCATCCATCATTCTCCAGAAGCTCTTACCTGGCTCTTTCTTCCGCTGCGGTTGGTGCCGGGGCTTTTGGCGGGCACCTTATTGGGTGTGCTGTGGGCGGAGTCTACGCCACCGTTCAGCTGAGCGGCTTTCATCACTGTGTTCATCATGGAGTTTATGGAGGTCAAGTCCACTCCATCTACTGCCTCCATCTCTCCGTCTGCTTCATTCCGTCCATTCTTCCATTCGTTTCCTTCCTCTTCTACGCCAGCAGAACCCTCTGTGGAGAATTTTATTTCTTTACATTACGGCGGAAGGATAGATGGATGGAACTATAGAATGATATATTAATGGAATGATGGAACAATAAATAGATGGAATGATAGATAGATGGAACTGTGGAACGATAGAGAGATGAAACGGTAGATAAATGGAACAATTAAATGATAGACGGATGGAACAATGGAATGATAGAACAATAGATAGATGGAACGGTGGAACAATAGATAAATGGAATGATAGATGGCTAGATGGAACCATGGAACAATAGATAAATGGAATGATAGATGGCTAGATGGAACCATGGAACAATAGATAGATGGAATGATAGATAGATGGAACTGTGGAACGATAAAGAGATGGAACAATAGATAAATGGAACAATTAGATGATAGACTGATGGAACGATGGAATGATAGATAGATGGAAGGGTGGAACAATAGATTAATGGAATGATAGATAGATGGCTAGATGGAACAGTGGAACGAAAGATGGATGGAATGTTGGAACAATAGATAGATGGAATGATAGATTTAACTGTGGAACGATATAGAAATGGAACAATAGATAAATGGAACAATTAAATAATAGACGGATGGAACGATGGATTGATAGATAGATGGAATGATGAAGTGATAAATTGATGAAAGAGTGGAACAATAGATAGATGGAATGATAAATAGATGGTAGGATAGATGGAATGATGGATCAATGGATAGATGGAATGATAGATGGATGAAAGGATAGATTGATGGAACGACATATGGGACATGAAATAAGCATATGGATGGATAGGATTAAGGAACAATGGATTAAACGATTAATGGAAAGATAGATAGATGGACGGACGGATGGATGGATGGATGGATGGATGGATGGATGGATGGATAGATAGATAGATAGATAGATGGATAGATGGACAGATAGATAGATAGATAGATAGATAGATAGATAGATAGATAGATAGATAGATAGATAGATAGATAGATAGATAGATAGATAGATAGATAGATAGATAGATAGATAGACGGATAGATAGATAGACAGATAGATAGATAGACAGATAGACAGATAGATAGATAGATAGATAGATAGATAGATAGATAGATAGATAGATAGATAGATAGATAGATGGATAGATGGATAGATAGATAGATAGATAGATAGATGGATAGATAGATAGATAGATAGATAGATAGATAGATAGATAGATAGATAGATAGATAGATAGATAGATCTCAACTCAAGCATAATTTGTACCTGTGTGAGCTTCTGTAGGGGCGGGGCTCTGGCGCTCATCACTTTGCTCCGCCTCCTCTTCCCCAGTAAGGCTGCAATTCGCTGATTCTGTTCTCGCCTCTTCTGCTGAATTTTCCATAGCTATGCAGGAAACAAAGGAGAGACAAAAATAGGGCTTTAAGTGCACTGAACATAACACTTCATACACAGAAATATAAATAAATTGGTTAACTCAAACTTTATAATAATAAAAGGAGCCTAAAGCAAAGGTCTGAGAAAGTAAAGCTGTTCAGAGAGTACACTACACAGGGTTCTTGGCCAGTGCGTGGAACATGATGTGTGTTTTGTACACGAGGAACAGTACACACATTCTCTTGGTGCTTTATGGCTCCAGCACCTGTCTGCGAGTGTGTGTCCGCCTGTCTCATGACCACACGAGTATTGTGAACGCATGTGTGGAAGAGTCATCATCCACAATCATTTACAAAGTTTCTCTTTCACTCCACACCGTAAAAATTCTGTCTTTTTTCCATTCCCGTCTTTATTTTCTCCCGTTTAGTTATGCTTTTGAATTGCATAATGGGAACTTGATATTTCTTCCCACGTTTTTAAACTTAAAAAATTCAAAAAAGTGACTTTATAAAGATTTTCATTAGTTTGCAGTGCTATATTGATGTATATCACGCTACAAAACATTGTAATAAACTGTAGCACATTCTCTGTTATGTTACAGACTTATTACTCTCTATATTATTTATTATATTATTATTTCTAACTACTAAAATGTCAGTAAGTAACACTGTTAAACAGTAGAGTTGAATTTACAACATCAAAACCTGAGAGAAAAGAGATCAACATCCCTCAATGCAATTCACAACCGTAAATAAACGAAAAACACTTGAGAATCGCTGAATACGCAAACGGTTCATTAAAAGATTTTTTTTTTACAGTGTGTAATTCTACTTCCAATGTTACACGCCTCATTTCTGGATCACAGTTTGATAATATTTCTATGTAAACTTGATACTTGGACACATTTTTGAGTTCTACAACCTTCCGCTAAAGTTAAAACAGTGAAATATTAAAAAAATCACATCTCCATGTCTTGCTTTTTTCCCATTACACCTTGTATTTTTTGTGTATGG